CCCGCAGCGGTGCCAAAGGAGTGGGGAAGGAGCGGCGCTTCCCAAGGGAATTCCCAGCTTCTCTGCCAAACCCTGGGCTCGCACACACGGAGCCTCCTCCCTGACTCCCTCCCAACGTGAGGGTGCCAAAGGCACCAGCAGGATCCTCAATAAAGACTTATTCTGTGTCCAAGGGGGTTTCCCCACTTGCTGAGTTTCTATGGAAAAGAGGGAGGGAAAGGGGGATTTTTCCCTGGTTTTGGCCGGGTCAACACCAAATCCTGAGGTTTTCCATGTTCAGCACAATAAAAGGGTGATTGAGGTGGAGGGGCCGGAGCCTGGGTCAGTTCTGGCCTTGGAAATGGGTGTTACTAATGTGGTTGATGGGTCCCCACATCCCATAAACACCATCTGGGAAAGGATTTGGGGATATTTATGGAGCCCCCAAGGTCACCAGCTCCATGGGGGATATCACAAAACCCAAACCCCACAAGTGGAGGCTGGAAGATGCCTCTGCCACAGATAAAGGATAATGGGAAGCAGGGACCCAAAACGGGGCTGGAAACAGGGATTAAAGCCCTTGGGCCCTCAAACAGCATTTGGGGGGGGGGCAGGAAGCACATTGGAGGGGAGAAGATGGTGTTGGAGGGGGGGTTGGCAGTGGGATTCCCCACATCCACGGCTGCATGTTCCTGGATGCAGCAAGGACCGAATTCCAGCTGCCGAGCACAGCCCCGTCTCCAAACTGTGCTGAGAGAAGCCGATAGCGAAGGAACCGAACCCAAAACTGGGGCTCAGAGGGAGCTGCCAAAGCAGGAGGATGGTGCAGGGATGCTCCGTGATACCCCTCTGGGGGCACCCCCCTTTCAACCCTCCCCAGAGCCCCCCCAAGAGCTGATAGGGACAAGGAGAGGTGGCCCCAAGCCCCATTCACCTCCAAAGGGCTGGCTCAGGAGCCGGGAGCAGCTTTTCCCCCTGCAGCCAGGCCAGGAAAGAGCAGATTGGGGAATTCCCCAGGGATTTGGGGGTTCGTTTTTGCACAGCAACTTTTATTTCCCCACTAAACAGTGACAGGGCAAAGAGACATAAAAGCATCGTGGAACACACGAGGGTGGGCAGGGGGGTTATAAACACGAGATCACATTGAAACCAAGCTTCCCCCTCCTTCCCCACGGATACAGGCTCTACACCCCAAAACTCATCCCATCTCCCTCCATTCCCAAGCCTACGGATGCTCAGTGCCAACAGGGGAAGCGGTGAGGAAGGGGATGGGGTTTTGCTCTCTTGGCGCTACCAACAGCGAGGAGATGGGCTCGGCCCTTTCCCAAAGGGAAAGCAAGGATGGGGTGAAAGAGAAGCTAAAAGGTGACCTGCAGAGCAACTGTGTCAGGCATCAGGGCTGGGTATGGTACCTCTGCTCCTCACGCTGCTTTTCCAGCCTTCTCGAGCTTCCCAGGATGCACAAAAGCTTTGGAGCAATGCGGGATGTGAGTAACCCCCCCGGGAGCTTTGCTCCCTGCTTACAGCCCTGTGCACATGGGGCAGCCGACTTGGAAGAGAAGAGCAAAGGAAACACACGGGGTTCCTTCTGCAACAGGGATAACCCCCCGTGGAGGCTATTCCAGCTGGAATGATGGACGATGCCCCAGAGGCAGGTTTTGGGTGTAAAAAGAGACTCAAACCTGGAAAGCAACAAGGAAACAGCAGAACGAGGGACGATGAGGAGGTTTGGGGGGGCTCTGTCTGAAAGCGGGGAGGGGGGGAAGGGGCAGGATCCTACTTGCAGGTCACCTTGGGAAGGATAAAGAAAGCGGAGGATCAGTTGCAGAGGGAGAGGGAGGAGCCCACATAGAAGAGCCAGAAGAAGGGGAAGATCTTCTCGGTGAACGCAGCGGTGAAGGTGAAGATCGGAGCCATGTTGTCGGCGTTGTAGAACGCCACCCACCCCCCCTCATAGTCCAGGTACACCCCGATCTTCCTGGGCCTCTCACACAGGGACAGGGGCGTCTCTGGGGAGGTGAACGCCTGGTACTGATCCCAGTTCTTCCCTTTCCAGTTCAATCCCACCGCCCAGATCCCCTCCTCGGGAGCAAAGTCGATCTTCTCCTTCCTCCTCACGGACTCGCGCGCTGCCCCCAGCACCCAGCTCTCTCCGTCTCCCACCTCCACCTCCCAGTAGTGCCTCCCAGCCACGAACCCCTCAGCTGCCAGCACACAGAAGGAATAATCGAATCTCTTGGGATTTGCTGGCAGCTCCTGGGGCGCGCTCCGGAGCCTCACGCTCCTCTTGTCCTCCGAGAGCACCAGGTAAGGGTTGGCCGTGTCTGGGTCCAGAGAGAGATCACCTGGGGAGAGGGAAACACGGACGTGAGCACCTGCGAGCCAAGGATCCCACTCTCCAAAGGGATTCATTGTCTCTGCCCCACACAAGGGTGACACCAGGAAGGTCGCCTCCAACTTCTAAGCACCCAAAGAGCTGCAGGGAACCAAGATCAGGCTCCAGTTCCTAATGCAAGCAGAGGAACAGCCCAATCCCTGCTGGAAACCCTCCAGCCCACCCCATCCCGGGCACCTCCTCACTCTGGAATAGAGCTTTCTGTGCTGAAACAGCATTTTCCAGGCCCAGGGAATGGTTTGGGGCGGAAGGGACCTTCAAAGCTCCTCCAGTTCCAAGCCCTGCCACGGGCAGGGACAGCTTCCACCAGAGCAGGTTGCTCCAGATCCCAGGTTTCTTTAGGCACTTCCCAGTGCTGGAATGAGCACAAACACCCTCGTGTTTAAGGGCTGGTTTTGGGCTCAGGGGATGCTCAGGAAGTGGCTGTGAGAGGGGAACATCAGAGCCTGTGGAGAGCTGGCTCCATCCTGCACCCAGCCACGTCCCTGAGCCACCAGCACCCACCAGGGGTTGCAAAGTCCATCCCAGAGCTGATCCAACGCCCGGGAGCAGGGACAAAGGTCTCCTGGAGCTGACAGCTCCTGCAGAGCCCTCCGAACCCCACCAGCCCCAGGGCTGCCCCTCTCACGGCCTCTGCCAGCACTGGGATCGTTTCCCCCTTCCCTCGGCAGCACCAGCACCAGTTTTCCTCCTCTCCCGCCTGGAGAAGCCCAAACTCCTGCACGAAGGAAGGTGGTGCTCACCTGTGTCATTCTCCAGCTCGAACCTGAGGTTCTCTGAGGGGAGAGAAGAAAGAAGGTCAGATGCTTTTGTGCCAGGAGACTTGATACCCCCCACCCCGCTTAGCCCCTGCTTCGTGGCCAACCACCAACCACCACTGCTTGGGAATGGCAGCGCACGGATAACCCCAGAATCCAAAGAATTCCAAGGCAACGTGCTGCTGCTCTTCCTTTTGATGAGCAGATGCTCAAGCACAGAGTTGTCCCAACAAGGGAGACGTGAAAACACAACTCATGGTCGCGTTTAAGCTCAACTCCACATCGGGTTTACATGAGGAAGCACCAGCTTTGGAAGGGAACGTGTCCCAGGGCTCACCCTTGAACTCCAGCAGGACCTCCTTCAGCACTGCACTCTTCTGGGAGAAGCTCTTGAGCTTCTTCTCCAGCTCTGTGAAACCAGCCTCGGGCTTGCAGAACATCCAGCTCTCAAAGCTGGTGAGGAGAAAGCAGCATTAGGCTCCCTCTGGGGAAAACTGAGCCCCCCAAACTTAGAGGCAGGGAAGAAAGGGAAGGTTTGGGCAGGGAACATCGTCCATCTGGCCCCACAGCTGAGACTGGCACCAGTGTGGGGCTGGCCGGGCCACTGGGCCTGGGGGGGGGTCTGTCCCTCTCCACGCTGTGGTTTCCCTCTGGGAGATGCTGAAGCCCTGGGTTGGGGTTGGTAACACCCTGGTGGGGGTGAGAAGTGTGGGGGGGAGCTGGACACCACCGGTGTGAGCCCCAACGAGGGCTTAGGTTCACTCACCTGCTTCCAGATGGAGCAACGACCTGGCAAGAGAGGAGAACACCCAGAAATGATGAGCACAAATCCCTTTTCCAACCCTCCCCCAAAGAGAGGGACCAGCTCCCAGCAGCTCCTCCCAAGGCAGCTGTGCCCATGGCGATGGCAGAACTAGGGCATCCTTAGGGGGTTTCCACCTTCTCCTTCCCCTTTGCCAGCGTGGCTGGGAAGAACCAACACGGCTTCCGAAGGAAAACAGGCCCAGCACCAACAGTGACCCCAAGTGGGGGGCTTAGTCCTTGCCATCAGAGGGGGGGCTCCAGAAGCTCCCCTGACCCCCCAAAAGAGGCTAAAACCTGGGCTCCCACCTGAGAAACCAACCCAGCAGCAAGTGTCATGGTGCAGAACGGAGTGAAGGGCCCTGGGCAGAGCAGTCAGCACCCAGGCAAGGGAATTCCATGGCCAGGGATCCCAATGCCACATGCATCCCATGGAGCTCACCTGCCCGGGCTGGCTGCCTGGGCTGTGCTCTGCCCCCTGCTCAGCCAGCAGCTTGTCGAGCTGGGCGATCTCCTCGGAGAGCCGGGACACGCTCTCCTCCCTCCTCCTGAGGATGTCTTTGTCCAGGTCTTCCAGGCGGGATAACAGGAGCTGCTCCTTCTCCTCCAGGAAGCCCCGGAGCTCCTTGCACGCGGCCACTATCTTCTGCCTCTCCACTTCTGTTTGTTTCTGCAACACCCCAATGGGGACCCCACATGAGACGGGCACCCCACGGCCGGGGGAGGGGTGTGTGTCAGGGTCCCCCAGCCCAGGTACTCACCAGCAAGTCCTCGCTCTGTCTCTCCCTCTCAGCTTTGGCTTCCTCACGCCCTTTCCTCAGGGAGCTCAAGTGCTCTTGGGGCACCTCCTGGAAGGAGAAAGAGCAGCTCTGTTGGGAATCCTTCCTACCTGGGATCAGGGATACGGAGGGATGGGACTGGGGGGGTGTTCCCTGGGCAAATCCCATCAAACACGACGGGGTTTTGAGCTGGAGAACACCACGAACCCAAAGTGAGGCGAGGCCAAGGCTGTGCCACATCCTCCCCTGCCCCACCACCCTCAACTCCTGGTTTACTAACACCTTACTACCGGAAACTGTCCTTGCTTTAAGTGCTTTGGCCTCCAGGGCAGACAGGGAGGTGCTCAGCAACGCTCCACAGGGAGCAGCAGGGCTCTGGGGAGCAACCATCTGGACAAATACAACACAGCTCCTAGTGCCAGGAACCAGCCTTTGGTCCCAGGGCACAGAAAAGCGACGACGGGAGAAGCGGGGGCTGAAAACAGCCCCCAGAGAGGCAA